TCTTTTTCGTACAAAAAAAATTGTTGCCTCTTTTTCGTACAAAAAAAGTACATCAAAATTTGTAATAAGTATGGAAATTACATCATCGTATTCGCCATTTTTGCCCACGACTTTAGGCAGAAATGGGTAAATCCCTGTTGATTGGGTTTTAATCCACTGCCCATCTCTGCCTGACTTCGACAAACACATTGACAAAGCATTAGTGGAGTATACAAACTTTGTATCAAACTACCTAACCGCATATCCCCTCAATTATCGCAAATCCCCTTGGGATTTCTCCCCAAGTAATGTACACACATTTGATGACATATACATAAGAAGATGACCCTACGGGTTGAACCCTTATTGCATAATTTATTAGTTTACTGCTTCCCCTTGTGATCACCTATATAAATAGGGAGATGAATGAGTTATGAAACTTGAGTTTGCAAGCAATCGTGCTTGCCACTATATCTATACAGTGTAATCGTTATAATATATGGTGTTGGAAATCGAACTCGGGATTGCTCTCCCGTTTTCCGTTCGACACAATTACTGACAAATAAGTAATACTCGACCATCGTGTATATAACTAGAAATAGAGACGAAATGTCATTTAATTTGTTTCAAAACGATGCCATATCATTACGGTGACAACTACGCTCCGATTGGCCAGCCCGTTGTCAATTGTTTCACTTCAAATCGACCAGTTTAACTTGAGCTTTGCTATAATGGATGGAAAATTGCAAAATTACATATTTATAATATTCAATTACCGATGAAATGTGATTCAGTTCATTCGTAATTATATGTTTTGCTGTTTCCCACACCACTGAATGGAACAGCCCCCCATAGTTAGAGATATATTATCTTTATTACAATAAATACAGAATATTTTTGGAATACACGGAGACGTATACACAGGTCAGTTGTTGGCGCTTTACTATTTCAGCTTTTTTATTTGTGATTACAGTGAAAACGAGAGTTGATATTTAAAAGTGATATAAGTCAAGTATGAAGCTTCATTCAGTCTTTAATTAGGTCGAGTATTACTTATTTCACGGTAATTGTGTTACAGACGGATGTCGGGCAGAGAAAGGGAGTAGACCTCCAGCATGGTAACCGTTTGGCCACGGTGCCTTTGTGGCACGTGACAACTGTCACCGTAAACTCATCGTCCAGACACTGAATAACGCCAAGAAACATGTCATGACTAACCTGATGCGGCTTTAATTTCTTGACGAGTCCTCTGTCAACCTCTATAAGCGGCTCCTTGGTCTCTGGGTCGAAGTCAAGTACCACTTTGTCCAGAACCACTTCGTCCGGTTTGCCCGATTCATCAAATTCCAGATTATTGTACTGAAAGATTAAAATAACAACAATCAGAAACTTGTCTATATTGACGACTTGCACGTAAACGCATAGAACAATAAATACAGTAGAAGTTAGCGAAGCGCGCGTGCCAACTGTAGGCGTAGTTCCGCCAACTTGAGCTCAGTACGCCATTTTCGCTTCAGACGTTATGTTTGTATCAATTCTTTCGCGCAAATTCTGTAAAATCGTAGAAAAATGCCTTATTGTGCAGTTTTCGAGTAAAAAAATGATCGCCGCACCAAAACCCGTGGTATTCCATTTCATCTTAACTGCCTCCGTGGCCCAACGGTTACCATACCGGACTGCCACGCAGAGGTCCCCGGGTTCGATTCCCGGGCCGGGAGAAATATTTGTATGACCTACATTTATTTCTCTCGTGAGTTTGGGTGTAATTTGTGGTTGTCTATGTGTGTGTCCATGGCACCCGCGACTCAGGGTTTCCCTAGTGCGGGGCTATGTTGAGTGTGTGCGTTATTATTATGTTATTATTATCGATAAGTGTTATTTTAATGAATGTTCAGTTGTACCAAATTAATCCTTTATACCGTAACAAACAAAAATAAACATTATCCCAGAGTAATACGGTCGTGTTATATCTTTTGGAGAACTAAGTAAACATCTCGAATTTTCCACGCCAGTAGCGAACAAAAGTTTACCGCAAACTTGCTTCATAAGTGTTTCGTTAATTCTATACTTAATTAATCGAAATAATTATGCAACGTGTGCGTTAAAGAAGACATCTGTTGTAAACAAGATACTACTTTCTATTCGTTCAGATGTTAGTCGTTCTTCGTAGTCCAGCTGCTGACCGCAAAACGGCAGCGCGTTGAGTAAAATTTCAATATAAAATCAAAACGTCCTAACTTGCAATACAGATATTGTACTTTCAACGATGTAGGGACTGGGGTAAAGTTAAATTATATTAACAGTCCAGAATTTGTTACATCTTTTTAAATTAGAAACCACAACCGACCATTACCAAGATTTGACAGTATTTATCGTTTGTTTATGTTCGTTTTGGTGTTCGTGTTCTGATAGTAATCGAGACTTAAGTCACGTCCACTGTTTTTTTTTCTTCCGTGAGTAAACGCCTCCCCTCTCTTAATGAAAAAATTATAATTGTTTCTTTTTTTTGTAGACAATCACACCAATTGCCTGGTCTCAAACTAGTGTACCTGTACTATGATCAACGATATTCACTCTGGGACACTTCCCAGAACACCCAGACTAGATCCAATTCAGAAAGTTCATTTCTTAGTGCAGGAATTGGCCTTAGTGCAGACTTGTAACACGTAAGAGGCTGTTGATTTTCTTAAATAAATAAAAATAAATATGCTCACTGTTTTTTGTCTCTCAGCGATACGAGCCAATCTCTCCCTTTCCTCGCGCGCCGCTCTTTTGGTGGCCTCTTCCAGTTGATTCTTCCCCATAACCTGTTTACATATTCAAAATGTTAGTATAATCTTTCTTGACTCAAAAAAATATTGATATTTCGCATGACAGAACAACGAAACTTTTACAGAATAATCTCAGTACAGAGTACTAAAAAGAACCGACCTCAAAAGTACGTGGAATTACATCTATTTGACAAGTTTTAGTGAAATATAGTAGAGTAACATAGTTCGCCACTATACCTATATAGTCCTAACTTGACATAACATTAATAAAAATCGGTTCTCACTACTCAAAGTATATTGAGAGAGAAAAACGCCTTGAATTGGAGAATAGCAAAACCAACCATTAAAATAATTGCTCCTTAAGTAAAATTTAGGCGCTATTTATAAAAATGAATGTTCATGCGTGATCAGCAACCCTTAGAGGTGGATGATTTTCTTCAAAATAAAATGGGACCACTATGGAGGTACCCCCTTTCCAACAAAAAAGAATCATGAAAATCGGTTCACAAATACCGAAGTCATCGCGTAACATACATACAAAAAAAGAAAACATACAGTCGAAGTAAAAACTCCTCCTTTTTTTGAAGTCGGTTAAAAACAGTGACACATCATGCATTCGTTCGATTTTTCACAGAGGACAAAACACTTATTGATATAGTATAATATTTAAAAAACTCAAACGTGGTCAGTAGCCTTAAAAAGAAAAAAAATTAAACTTTTTAATTTGTTTTCTGTAAATTTTTTGCATCCGTAAGTTATGTCACTTTCACAGGAGGTGTGATTTATTCTGTGGACAAGGATGCTGATAAGCAATAACGTGTTAACCCACAAAAAGTCGAAAATTTAGAAATTAATGCCAAATTGTAGCTTGTCGTCTCGTCTACATTTTACAAATATAAGTGATTTGAAACCTCCAAGTAATAAAAAAACCGTATAAACGTTGACATAAATCCATAAAGCCGCAATCACAAAAAAAAACTTTAGACGCCATTTTCTCAAACTATGGTCATACAAAACATTACATTGTGTATATATATGTATATAGTCTCTACTAGTTTGCAAGTGTTTTCAATTTTGTCAAATGAGTTTAGTTTAAAAAAAGGGTGTCTATATAGTTAAAGATTTTGTGAACTGACCTTCCGGATGTTCTTCCTTCCATGTTTATTTTTACCCTCCCTCTCGTCTTCCGATCCTGAAGCATCGCTGTCTTTTATTTGTTTTATGCGCCGCCGTTTCTTTTTACTAAAATAATATAACACTTGTCATGAAATTTCAAGATTGAGTAAGCCATACATCACACCACGAATAATAAAATGACGAAATCCAAAAAATAGCATTCGTGGGAAACTGACAAATTGAATAAAAAAGTACCAAAAATATATTTTTTCATAACAAATATAATTTTGTCATATTTAACACCAGACAAATGACACATGGCTGTTGGTGCCGCTTAATTTTTTAAAATCTATTTTGATAATTACCAAAATAATGTTTTTTTAATACATAAAGAAGGCAAACGAGCAGACGAGACACTTGATGGGAGGTGGTCATCGTCGCCCATGGACATTTGCATCAGAGAAGCTGCCTAGCTGTTGCCAGCCTTTGAGATTCTAGGTGTTCCAGGGCCCCAATTGCTAACTTTCTTGAAACTATTGGTCAATGTAAGTCCATTGAAACTCCATTGAGATCATAACGCACTGTTAATACAATAGTGTATTAACTCAAAAAGTGTATTTTTTTCAGAACCGATGAAAAACTAATTACTCATTCCAGCGAAATATTATTAAAATTTATGTATACGTTACTGTTTCTTTATTACAGACATCTAAACAATTCCCTGCTCGCCAACTAAAAGGAAAAAAATATCTTAATATTTTTTTAGAAACTTATTTATTAAGACTGTTTTATCCAGAACAAGTTCGCAAAAAGTTTGTCTCATTTTGAGTTAAGTAGACTTATTTTAATTGTTTCTTACAATATTTTAACGACGGTTTTATTGATGTGTAGAGAATCAAATTTTACGTTCAGCAATAGCATAATCTTGAATTTCACGTATTTTGAGTTACAACAATATTGTAACAGCAGTGCGATTGCAATTGTGTTAATATTTGTTATTCTGCTAAAATCTAGTTGCAATGACAGTTGAGTCTAAATAGAAGGTCAGTGGAACGGCAGTAATGGCATTAATTATTAACTTACGACCGATGATGCCTTACTTATCTATGCCGTAATTCTTTTGTTTCTTTTTATTTTTTTAAGCCCCACACTAGGGAAACCATGTGTCGCGGGTGCCATGGACACACACATAGACAACTACAAATTGCACACAAACTCACGATAGACATAAATATAGGCCATACAAATATGGCTAATAAGGAATCGAACCGGGACCCTACGTGGCAGTCCAGCATGGTAACCGTTCGGCCACGAAGGCAGTTATTACTATGCATATCTTAATTTTTATCTCGCTTAATTAGCAATTTAGTCTGCCTGCTGTGAGACAACTAATTCTCGATGATCGTCATGTGACATATCGAGATATGGGCGTTATTAGGCATCCCAGGGACGACCATTCAGAAGATCTTGCATGAGGCACTTAGTATGAGAAAGCTAGTTTGCCGTTGGATCCCGCATTTGCTTTCCGATGATAATAAGTGGGCCCGAATTAGATGGTGTAAGAAAACTCTTCAAAGGTTCAACCGTGGAGAGTTAAATCACGTATACGACACCATCAATGGTGACGAATCTTGGATCTATGCCTACGAGCCTGATTCCAAACAACAATCTACAGTCTGGGTCTTCCAAGACGAGCCAAAGCCGACTAAACCTATTCGCTCTCGAAGCATTTCAAGGAAGATTGTGGCCATGTTTGTTGCGAAAACCGGTCATCTTGCGACGATTGCACTTGAAGATCGTAGAGTTGTTAATGCAGAGTGGTATACCACAGTTTCTTTACCACAAGTCTTTGTCGAACTTCGGAATCTAACTCAAAGCGACGCATCATCCAACACCATGACTTGCGCAAACTATTCAGTATTTGAAGCAGAAAAACGTAGAAATTCTTGACCATCGTCCATAGTCCTGACCTAAGCCCTAACGATTTCTTTACATTTCCTAAAATTAAGAAAACTCTTCGTGGTCAAAGGTTTTTATCACGTCGGGGTCACCAATCTAGAATCTTAAGTGGGTGGTCCTATTAACCACCCGAATTTAACGTGCTCACTATGGGGATTCCCGATAAAGTCAAAACTCCGTTATAATTTAGTTGTCACACTTTTATTGTACACTGCCAAATAGTATACGGTACAAAACAAATGGAAGATTAACTCGGAACTACTTATGGCGAGGAACATTGCTGGAATTGTTCGGACCGGGCGCGCCATGGACGACGACTGACTGCGCACACGCAGAGGGCTGAAAACGTAACGTCAGCACATGTGTCCCTACACTGTAGGGCCTACAGGTTCCAGTCCGGTGAAGAAACAGTCGACGCTTTCGAGACAGCCATATTGAACACCACTACTTTGGAATGGTACAAATGTTTTAATGACTGCTTGAAGCGAATGGGAAAGTGTATTAAACTACGTGGTGAATACTTTGAAAAACAATAAAAGGTACTATAAGGTTCTAGTAGTGTTTTCTTCTTTAAACGACAAAACTTAAAAGGCATGCCTCGTAGTACAGATCGAAACAGAGCTTTCGTAGCACAAAAGAAATGCATTAGAGCAATTTGCGGAATTCCCCTGGATGACACATGCAGACCCTGAAGGTGTTGGTCTGTTGCCACTACTATCATTATATATATTCGAAATTTGTATCTTTGTACGAAAACACACATATTTGTTTAAGAAAGCATGTGATGTGACTACTAGACTCTGCAGAAACCCGAATAGACTTATACTTGACACTATTCCTATGACTGCTAAATACAGCAAAAGTTTTTTAGATTTTTATTGAATTGATATTCAATTATTTTTGTGAAATTACTCTACTAGTTTGTTTGTTGTATTAATAATTATAACAGTAAAAGTTGTTTAAAAACGTTTGTTGACTTATACAATAAAATACCACTTGAGACTAAACTATTACACTTAATTTTATTAAAAATAAAGATGTACAAGTGGTTAAATAAAAATATTTTTTATGACCTAAACGAAATATTTGACAGGAAAAGTGATGTAAGATATAAAATCATGAAAATTGTCATTATTGACCAAATTAATTTGTAACTTGACATGTTTGTGACATTTTTTTTATTATTGTTGTGGTAGTCTGATTGACATTATAAAAGTAGACATTTGCATGCTATTGAATACATGCGAAACATGTTTGTACTGGCACTGTCTCTTGTAACATCTTCTGTTATAGCATGTATTAAGCAAATAAACGAATTATTATTATTATTATGAACAAATAAATATAAACCATAATTAATAAAACATAATTTACTCTAAAACCTAGGGCCAGATTCAGAAATTACTTACCCTTCGTCAGAGGACGATCCAGCCGAGGCATCGCTGTCGGTTTCCTTCTTCTTCCTTTTCCCCTTCTTGGCAGGCTCAGAGCTCTCGTCTTCGGAGTCCTCGAAGTCGCTGTACTTCCCCGTAGGTTTACGCTTCGAGTATCCGACTTCAGAGTCTGATGAGATCGCGTTGGCTTTGCGACGCTTCAATTTTACACTGCGAAAGAAATATACTGTATAATAAAGAATTAAAAACATCACACAAATCACGTATACGACACCATCAATGGTGACAGAATTAAAAACATATAATATTATTATCCTGTACTAGTAACTTACTTGTCAGTATCTGAATCGTCTTCTTTTTTTACATCCTGCAACAAAAACGTGATATTTATCTATCAATATCAATAAACATTTTAAGAATAATAGGTCGCACATGCAACCAAATATTGTCCCAACACAAAAATGGTAGCATTAAGATTGCACGACCTGAAAATGAAAAAAATGAATGAATCTTATTACGAATGGGATTATTTTTATTTATACATAAGAATCAGTTATCCACTTATAAACGAGAATATATGTAAACTTATTGGTTCCATTCAGTAATTTTTTGAACTTTCAAATCGCGTTTTCTCAATTCGACCATTTTTAAGTTACGACAGAATTGGTGTAAATGCGAAGTAGTAAATTATAAAAACGTACATCAGAGCTCTTATCTTTATCTTTGGAGGTGTCCGAGTCACTTTCTTCGAGTAGGTCGTCTTTAGCCATATGTTCCACGACAGACCCGTTCAGACCCGACAATGTGACGGATGGCAATTCTAAAAACAATACAATAGTATGTATTTCTTTACCCTAGCATTACTTGGTTCTAGAAATTGTAATCAAATTAACGACGATATTTTTATCTTTAATGGAGTTAAAAATAGAAACAAATTTTATTTCTATATATTTACAAGTAGAGTCAATATTGTGTTACATATTTATTTCATGAAACGTGGTAATTCATTAATGTGAAATGGTAGAAATCACAAGTTATTATGATTCAGTCTGTGACTTCTTTGGTGAATAAATAAATACACAAAATGGTTCAATGGTGTACAAAATTTTGTGTAATCCAGATTACTTCTAAAGTTTCGACAGCTACTTCTACCACCTTTATCCCTTGTATCTCGTAGCTTACTTGTTATTGTCAACAATTACGTGAATGACGATTAAAGGCTAGTTCATATTTTTATTGTAAACACAAGGTTTTGAAAAATAAATTGGTCAGAAACTTAAGGGACGGATAAGATCCCCGATTGCAATGTATAGGGACTACGAAAGGTTCAACTATGCTGATAGAGTATACATACACTTTACGCCCTTTCTCCCCATCAGGATAGGCAAAGCCCGTTATATCACGTTAAAAAAATAAATTCATTTATTGAGTCAAAAATGTCACACGAGAAGTGATTTTACCATTCACTCTCAAGACAAATTAAGTTTTAATAACTTTCGTTCAGAAAATAAGTCAATGTTCTGACATTAGTTACAAGGATCACTTACCTTCGTCGCCAGCATCATTCTCAGCCGCAGACAACTCATCAGAGCTGCTGGGGACCTCCAGCAGACCTTCCTCGCCAGCGAAAAGCTTACTTTTGGGTCTGGTTTCTTTTTTAGAACTCGACTCTGTTTTATTAGGTTTGGAGTCAGACCGTCGACGAGATTGGTTCAAGGTTTTCAAGTTTGTCAATCTGTACAGGAAGAATTAAAAATCTTTGCAGGGACTATAATTATAAATAATCAAAACTGACGTAAAATCTATACCGATATGTAGTAGATATACTTTTAACGATAAGTCGATCTAAGCACCGAGATATTTATATATATAACGTACTATATTAGTTTACCAGATGTTAGCCAAGAACACAAGACACACAAGAGACTAACACTTTGAATTTTCTTTTGTTTGGCAAATAAAGCATGCCTAGTGATTAAAATTACACACCATTTAACCCTTTATATACAACAGTATTTACCCTTCAATATCTTTGTCGTCCTGATTTTCTGAATGGTTGCTGCTACTGCCTGGTTTCTCACTAGAACGGCCCATCTGTAAGTCAGTTTCTCCATTTAATTTTTAAGCTTTAAGATGTGATAAACTACCTAGGTATTTAAAACTTTTACCAATTTGCCAAGATTCTTCCCTCGACATTCAGTAAATTGAAAAAGGAAACTACCGCATTTGATTTTTAATGTCCTGTACAGATCAGTTTCCATACAAAGAATAATTGAAACACCCATTACATACAAATTGTATTTAATGGCAGACAAGAATACTGTTTTCTATACAAAAACAAAACAATTCAGATTTAAACTTAACATACCTTTGCTTTTAATTGAAACAATTCTCTTATCCAAACAGTAAACACAAAAAAATTAGAATTTCATCAGGCACTGTACTTTCACCTTCTTAGCTAAGTTTGTACAATAATAACATAATTACAACTGTATTTAACTAATTTGTATTGTTTCTTAATCTACAATAACCTAACCTTTTTTCTACTGGAATTGGAGCTGTCATTGTCTTCCTCTAAGTCCTCCTTTTCTGAAAGCGTGGAGGTTTTCCTTTTATTTTTATTACTTTTTTTAACCTGCGTTAATATGTCCACATCTGAATCTGAAGAGGATACCCGCCTCTGAAAAACTGCTGATGGCATTTTCTCCTCATCAGAATCCAATGCTTGTAACAAATTTTTTTTGATATCTTTGACTACTGTTTTTAGTTGTTCATCTTCAGTGTCAGAACTGGATGAGTAAGTCAGTAACATTTTTTTAGCATGCATGCTTTCCATGATATGCTTCCTTTTCGACTTTGGTTTGTCATCACTCTTCTTTCTTTTAATGGGCTTAGGACTATCACCTGAAGAATCTTTGAGTAAAGAAGACTTTGCTATTTCTTTTTCATCACCTTCTGTGGGAGGAGTCTTTTCGTGGTCACTAGTCTTTTTCTCCTCAGAGTCATTATTTTTGTCTCTGCTGGTTTCCTTAAGCTTTTCTGGCGAAGTTTCTTTATCACTGTCATCTGAGCCTGAATTAGCCTTACTACACTGAGTGACTTCACTTTGTTGATTCTCATTATAAGTTTCTAGTGAATCATTATTTTTTTCATCGTTTTTTTTACTATCAGAGTCTTCTATTGATGAATGGTCAACATTTTTCAATGTTTCTTCACTCTCCCTGCTTTTCTCATCCTTATCAATACTATCTTCTTCCTTTGGAGGGCTTGACTTATCTGCTAAGGAGTTTTCAACATCGTCGGCTTCATCTTCTAATGAATTTATTTTAGTTTTCCCTTCTTCATCATTTTTATTAGAATATTGGACAGTTTGCGCATCTGTTACAGGATCAGATACATTTTTCTTATCATGGCCGCTATCAGAATCTGAGTCATTAAGTAAAGCAGCTTTTTTGGCTTTGTTGCCACATTTAGATTTCTTAACATTTTCGTTGTCAGAGTTACAATCTGACAAGAACCTTTTAGTTTTCCCTGTACTGTCGTCTTCTTCATCAGAATCATTTTTATTAATTATATTTGTCTTAACACTTTTCTCGCCATCTGATTCACTGTCGCTGTGTGATCTGGGCTTGCTTTTTCGTTTAAGTTTTTTTTTACTCTTTTTGTGCTTTTCTTTACTGTGCGATTGTGGGTGGCATTTGCTAGTGGTGTCTTTACTTTCTTCACACGCTGCCAGACTATCAGAATCTGATTCATTTAAAATAGCTTTTTTATTGGTATCTTGATTTTTGTCAGACATCTCTTCTATCATGTTTAGCTTTTCACTTGTATCGGAGTTAGATTTATCAAATGTGCTTTTAGCCTTGGCAAGTGGCTCTACGACATCAGAGCTAGGCTTTTCAACATTCTGCTCAGAATCAGATTCAAAGAGTAAAGAACTTTTTTTGTTTTGTGCATTAGAATCATTATTCGTTTTTTCATGTTCTTTCTGTTGATCATTTTCTGAATCTGATTCATTAAGCAAAGAATTCTTAACTTTTTGCGATTCATGCTCCAAGTTACCAATCTGTTCTTTATCCGAGTTATCCGACTCTGAATCATTTAGCAAAGCACTTTTCACTATATTAATAAGTTCTGGTTGAACAGCATTTTCATTGTGACACACTTGTTTTGTATTTTCGAGATTATTAGCCGCACTTAAGCTATTACATTGGTTTTCATGCAATACTTCTGCAATTTCTTTACCTATTTCACAAATGACAGTTGCACCTCGTGTAACCTTTTTTAAATTATGGCCTTGTAAAAATGCTACAGTTATTTCTGGCAGATGTTGAAGATGTATTGAAAATTGTTTAGGTTTAAAGGTTTTCACCATTTTTCTCTTTTCTTCCCAAAAAGCTTCCTCATCATCAAACTTTACTTTTTTAGACCTATGCTTCTTCAATTTCTTGTCCTCAGAAAAATCTTCTTTCATTTTATTATCTCCTATTGAACATTTTCTATTTAGCTTACATGTTTTGTTACCAGGCTCGTCATTGTTTAAACAAGCTTTTTCCAATAAATCAGGTTTCAGGAGTTGACTTAGACTGACACATTTTATTAAAGATTTTTTAGCTTCTGGATTTCTTTCTTGTTGTTCACCATCCTTAGCATCTTCCATCTGTTCATCACTCTGATTTTCTTGACTGACATTAACATTGGACAAATTATTTTTCTCACTTTCAGGGTCTGTTGCACAATTTGTTACTGCAGAATCTTTTTTGTATGCATTAGTTTCACATTGTTTCTGTTTCTCCTTTTCATTGTCAGAGCTATCATCATCAATTATTGTAACACGTGTCAACATTTTCTTCTCACTTCTCATTTCATCTTCAGAACTATTATAATGCTTTGACTTTTTGCGGGACTTGGGTGCGCTTTCATCATCAGAAATAAGAGAATGTTTTAACGTGTTTTGGGACTTGTGAGTGCTTTCATCTTCAGAACTAAGAGAATGCTTTGACTTTTTCCGGGACTTGGTTGTGCTTTTATCTTCAGAATTAAGAGCGTGCTTTGACTTTTTTTGGAATTTGAGTATGCTTTCATCTTCAGAGCTAAGAGAATGTGTTGACATTTTTCGAGACTTCTGTGTATTTTCATTTTCAGAACTATTACAGTGCTTTGGCCTTGTTCTCAACTTGTCTGTTGTTCCTTCATCAGAGCTAATGTGTATTGACTTTTTTTGGGACTTTTTGCGTACAGTTCGAGCATATTTGGACTGTTTAAGTGATTTGTGTGCATTTTCATCTTCAGAACTATCTAAGCATATACTATTTTTACGTAGTTCCTGTGAGCTTTTGCGTTTTGAAAAATGTTTAGACTTCATGGGGGTTTTAGATGTATCTTCATCTGATAAACTATCAGAACATTTGGACTTTTGGTATGACTTATTTGAACGCTCATTTTCAGAACTATCAGTACATTTGGCCACTACATGTTTTTCTTTATGAGCTTCATCAGTTTTTTCTGCTTCATTTGAGTCAACAGAGACACTACTTTTTTCTGTTCTCTGTGCTCTCTTTGGTTCCTTATCAACTTCCTCTTGCGATTCACCTAAGGATTCATCACAATTCTTTTTCTTTAGATGTTTCTTATTATTGGGCTCAGTATGATCATTTTCAATAGAACTAGTACTGCTTGCTTTATTAACTTTTTTCTGCTCAGGTTTAGATTCCATGCTATGATCATCAATATTTGATTCTGGTTCTAGTGTAGTTGGCATATTATTTACATCTTCAATTTCAGAGTTATCTATAATTGATTTTTTTAATTCTAATTTTTCTTTGCAATTCGACTCATCTTCATTTTTCTTTACTATCGTATCAGTTTCCTTCAATGCTTGTTCCTTCAGAGCTTGCCTCTCTCTAATACGGTAAAGCTTACAATTATAATAAACTGGATAGTTTTCCAACAGAGACATAGGAATTTTCTTAGCCAGAACTTTGACTGAAGTAAAATGCTTAACAGAAATCTTTTTAGCTACTTTCAATTTTCGGGAGCGGTATTCGAAATAGTGATAATGGGGCTTTTCTTTCACGTTTCTATCAAATTTTTCGAAATTTTTGTCCTTAGATTTCTCTGTATTCTTGTCAAGCGTTTTCCCGCCTTTACTAGTAGTTGGTTGTTGCCCGGCGTCGGCAATGCTTAGTACTTTGCGAATGCCGCTTTCAACGTTGTCAAGTGATTTTTTGGATAATTGGCATATCAGCAATACTTTATGAGCGGCTTTTTGGACAGCATGAAAATTCTTTAGTTTTTCTTTAGATATTCTCTTCGCCTTCAAACTCTCAGATCGACTACGTAAATTCAATCCCAGCTTGGATAAATACTCCATCGCTTCGCACAACACATCACAAACAGGAACATCGTCCGCCATTTCGCGTATAGCTTGTCTTGCGAAATTATCACACAAAAATTCGATTGCACGCTATACAAGATGAAACAGACCGAGCAATTATAATATTAACACAATATATCAATAGGGGTGCAAAACTTAACAAAAACGTAGATTACGACGATTACGACGACGCCATTTTACACAAAGAAAATAAAAAACCATAGAGAAAAAAAAGTATTTTTAAAATGAAAGAGTGACAGTGGACACTGGATCCCAACACCATTCAGTCAACTGACGAAAAACTACGTCGTTCGTAAGTGATAAAATAAAAAATGCAACTTGCACCAGTTGAAATATTCAAAGAAAATAACAAAATAGACTTAGCATCAATTATTACAACGGAGAACGGACATTTTACATTGCCCTAAACGTTATTCTTCCAACACGTAAAGGCATTTCATGGAACGGAACGTGAATCACACATAAGGGCATCTCAATTTAGTTGGGTTATACACCGAACTATATATACAACTATAACACAAAATAGCGGCAATAGGTATACATACGAACTATATTACAGTACATATGAGATTCATGAATAATTTCGGACTCTAGTAACATAAACGCATGAAATTAGAATCATGGCTACAATATTCATTGGCATGTTACCTGTTAGATAACGGTAAAAACGGTGTCTCTTGAAGCAAAATAAAAAACTAATAAGGTATCAATTTTTTGTACTCACCTTTCATGTAAATGGCTGAACTACTGATTTATGGGATGTTTCTTGGGTCAAGAAGAGTCAATTATAATTGTAATACATTATTACACTTTGTAATATGAATTACGCACTAAATTACACACATTTCTCGACGAACAACCGAAAAATCGGCGAAATATGCAAGGAAGGTAAACTATCCAAAACAGTCGTGAAAAAGATCCATAGACAACAGAGGAGGACAGCAGGAGCGGGAGGGAGGCAGTGGGAGTCTAGAAAATGGGGGAAATCGATCGTTTTCGCCATATACAACTACCTATATTGTGATTTATTGGTATATGACATGCTTACTAAAAAACTCTAAATGATCACATGATAAACAAAAATAAAATGAACGTTAAAGCGAACTATCATTCAGTAGTGCAGTGTTAGGGAAATTATCTTAAACTGCTTAACGTTTACGTCACGATGAATTGTTGCAATTCATATTGTTGGTGATAATGGGATAATATATTTTTAAAGCTCAATATTAAAAATGTAAACGATACGTTGAATGGTTCATAGTTTTTTTAATACAATAAGTGAGTGATTAAAAAACGAGTTAACTATGGTTCCACAACACCTGCGTGTTTTAATATAAGCGCAATTGGATTTTAGAAAGAGATAGTACTATTTCGGTCAATTTTAATAAATAATATCATTAAGTTTATTGAATGTCAGCTATTAATGTTCAACTATTAATTTGTGAAATTGCTCCACTAGTTTACTATAATTATTAATACAAAAATCGAGCTCTTAGAAAAAAATCCCTCGATCTGGCTGGATTCGAACCAGCGTCTTCTAGCAAACCGTGCTAGACGCTATGCCAACTAAACCACGGAACGAACCAGCGGACCTTACGAATTTTTCTATGGCCTTGGGGCAGATCTTTGTTTTTGGTTTCTATCTACTGATGCCGTAGCGCCATCTGTGAGAAATCTATTTCTCCTCACTCAGCCTACCTTTACAGCTACCAGCAGCTGACTAGAGATGTCAATTTAATAATTGTAATGAAGTTGGTTTGGTTGGTTGGTTGTTAACGTTTTTATGCGGACTTTTCACAAATGACGCTACATCATCTCTGGCCGAAGGGCGTCCTATAGCAGTCTAATCTAATTAAAATTCACCATTGGCCCACGAATCATCAGTTTGGACCCACTGTGTGACGTCATATTGAAACTCCATAAAACAAATAAACGTTTTACTTGAATGCTAAGCATTATCCAAAGATATCTTAGTATAATATTTCGTAGGCTAAAGTAAGATACGTATGTAAACTAATTAATTTTTACTAAGCGTATGTTCGGCATTTTTACCGAATATTCGGTTACCTGCCGAACATGACGAATACAGAATATAAAACGAATATTTGGCACACCTCTAATTAATCATCATCGTTCAAAAATAATCAAGTTAAAATGATAATTAATCACAATGTATATTATGAGTATATTTCCGATATACTCTGTAAAGTTTCTAATGAAGTTCTGGAAACTTCCCATGAAATTGAAGGAAAGTTAAGAAATTTTAAGACATTTTCATGAAAATGGCTCTTTCTGACGTTATTTCTCGATACTCTCGATATATTTATTTTACTAGAGTCATTGACTTAATTTGTAAGTCCATGACTAGAGTGCGTTTTTATTAAACATGAACAAACATTATACATGAAACATTTTATTAGGTATCATATTAGTCAATGGGTATCATTGTTTGATTTTTTTCTCAATGGTTGAATAAATCTGTTCCAGTATAATTTTTATTTTTTGTTACAAGAAACGAAGATATCGCTGTAATATGGTCACTTCTTTTTTTTTGGAGAACTAAATAAACTTCTCGATTTCGTCGTCGTTCAGCACATTAATTGAAATTTCAATAAAATCAAAACATCATAACTTGCAATAAGAGGCATTGAATTTTCAATGATATGCCAATAGGGTAAAGTTTAAATAATATTAACTGTCCAAAGTTTTTTATTCTTTTTAAATTAGAAACTACGATCAATAATTATTAAGATTTAATAGTGATTAAAACTATGAATGTGTGAGTTTTGGTTCTGATAGTATAGCAATGTAGTAATCTGTACCTATCATCACGAAAGCAGAAGTAGAAATCTGTATCATCTTAGTGATGATACAGATTTCTACTTCTGCTTTCGCAACGGCGACAGTTCCGCAGGCTTTTTCATATCTGTTTTCGTTTCTGCTTCTGCGACTTTTATAGCGGAACTTTAATCGGACGTTTACAACGTTCGCGCCATTGATGAGGCAATCACGCGGTAGCACACGCAATTTTTTAGCAGTTTTGTGCAATTATGAAACCAAAATAAGCCAAGCCAAGCCCTGTTTGGAACTATTTCCTTTAGACCTTTAGAGTATTCGCTTCCGCACCCGCTTTCGTTTCCGTTTCTACTAAGATTTGATTTTGACATCTGCTTCCATTTCTGTTATGACACTTCTATTGCATATCTGGTAGTAATCGAGGGTTAGAGCACTTCCATTGCTTTTTCTTCCGTGTTATGCTCTGAGAAATTAAATAACAAAATATTAATTGATGAAGTGCTGTATATTTTGACCAAATGTTGTTTTTTAGTTGACGGTCAGCATTTTTTAAGCGTATCATTGATGATTTTATATTACTTTGCTTCTCGTGCTGAAAAATTCTTGCTCTATTCGATAATAATAATAATTATACTCTACTTACTTTTAGGAGCTAAGCTGAGAATATCGAGTAGTCATTTGCGAATAGTCGACTACGGGCCGTTGCCTAACATCGTAGGCCTGAAGTTGTACAAAAACGAGACACATTCGCTATTTCACTCAAAGAAATACGATAATCGTAAATTCGACGTTAGATTATTAACATTGTATTGAGTAAATGAACCACTTGAATCCAAGGTCATGAAAAAAGTTTAAAAAAAGAAATGATAGACAAATTACATGACATTTGAACGATTTAGGTTGCCAATTTGTGGGACATTACCTAAATTGTGGGAATATCAACCTGATGGGGATTTTGTGGGAATTGGCGCTATGTGGAGAATATGCGGAGATTCTAACAATTTATTATTTTGTTTAATCTATCGATTGCTGACGCATCGCTAGTTTGAAAACACTATGATGAACGCTATCGATTTTTTTTAAATCGCACACTCTTCACTTACATAGCAATACATACAATAGACAAAAATTATTAGCAAGCCACATGAGTTACAGAATTATTCGGTAGGTAGAATCATAGCACCTACCTGATTCTTCTACACCACAACTTGCCACTCGTCAACTATAAAAGTCTAAACTTAATTTACTCATTAATTATTTCTAACCTTAACATAGTGTTACCAAATGTTCAATAAATATTAATGTCTGTAATATGTTTATTTATCACTTAATTTTGTAAGGCTAAAAAAATTATTTAATGTTTTTTCGAAGACTGTTGTAGTTGTTGAACCTCATTAAAATTAATAAACGATTTATAATTTTCTGTATTTTAATATTTTGAGTTTCTCAATTCTTTGTTTTAGTTTTATTTATGTGATGAATTTATATCATTTATTGAGAACTCGAAATGTGAGAATGTGATGTTAGCTCTCTTCAAATTTGGGGATTTTGAACCATTGGCATGGCAATGCTGTTTATGTATATGTCTTTCCGATATAAATTGGACTTGCTTGACTGAGTTGAGATTGAGATTGTGTAACAAAATGATTTCAAGATACGCACTGAGGGGTAGTGTTCTGCGGGTGATTACAAGAACTTACAGTCAGGGAACTAATCAGACAACGGTATCTGCTTCATCGACTGCGCCGCCGCCTTCAAAGACGAATGTACCAGGACTGAGCGGTGCCGTGGTCATTCCTGCTAATGAACCTGTGGGCCCTGGAATAAAGCTCGACAAATCCGGCCCGTACAAATCTCCGGAGTATTTCTGTTACAATGATATGAGTTTCTATGAAGCTGAAGTAGAAATGGCGAAGTACCGATGCCCCCCACCCAATGCCAACAGAAAGTAGAAAACCCGTCCACATGGTTACTTACTTATTGCTTTAGGCTACGTGCAGCATACGACTAGCACTATTTAGAGCTTGAAAGACAAAACACTGCAAGTGACCCAGTTAGGAATGATTGCTAGTGTGCGCAAGTTACTTCTTTTGCGCTACACGTAGCTTTCTTGTATGTTAATATAGCTACTTAGTTTTGTTAAATATAATTTATGTGAATAGTTTGTTGGTCTTTTACTTTATTATTAATTATTCTATATCTAAGCCTTTTTACCTACGGCGTAGGTTTTTGGCTCACCTCCCCAAAAAATTATTGTTAACACATATTTTTTATATGGATATTTTTGTTATGTATATGGAGTGTAGTTTATATAGATAATTCAGTTTTTTTTTTCCAAATGCGGTAGCATCATTAGGCCTTTACCCCCCTGGGACTCTTCTGCATCTGCTGGGGGGCGATAGGACCATTTTGGGAAACTATAATTATAATATATATAATTAGTGTAATGAAACTATTTGTTAACATTTCGAACCTTTTTTTATTATATCAATTGACAGAAGACAAAGTCCCATGACTGGTGGTAAACAACAATTTTATTTATTTATTAACCTATATTATATTGACAATTCAATTATATCCATAAATTACTTAATCTATAGCATCAGCGCATCCTGAAGACGCATAGGTCTCCCCCAACTCTGTCCATCTGGCTCTGTTCCTTGTCAGCCTAGTCCATAGAGGTCCAGCTACTTTTTTAAAGTCATCAGACCATCTTTTAAAGGAACAACCCCTTTTACTCTTGACATTTTCCTTTCTGTTCCACTTTTCTATTCTTTCCCTGTGCTTATGGCTAGTTCACTTCCACTTTAGTGTTTTGCTTTTTGTGGTAAACAACATACCTATCCATAATAGTTGCTGTGCCATTCAGAGCTTTAAATCACAAACACCTGAAGAGTACTGCTACTGCTCATCCTAAGAATGTAAGATAGAGTTGATGAGCCCCATGTGTCTGTAGTTTCACTTCCCTTGCGGTTCAAAACTGGAACACAATAATGCTTGCAGTACTGCTTGGCTGCAAAGTAGGTATGTTAGTTCTTCCCTGGACAAACTCTAACAAGGAGCCCTCCTGGTACAAGGTCAAGAGCAATGCAAGCTTGACACCAAAGACTTAAATTTCACTCTAAGCCGCTTGCAATAAGAATGGTCGAAAGTGTCAAACTTGATGTGCACTTGACTGCACCAATATTGTTTTTTAATTTTATAAATATCATGAGTCTGAAATGATGTACATAGACTCTAGTAAGCGATAAAATCATTCTCTTTAACATGTATTGATGTAATAAAGAAGTTGTTTCAATAAGTTAATTCGGAGTTTCATAGGTTGTGAAGCAAAGATTTGTTTTCATCAAAACTTTCAAGTTACATCCATTAGTGTTATATCTGCAGTACCTAAGTTACTTATAATCATGATTTGAATATTATATAAATAAATATTGTTAAGAAAAATGGTAAAGAAAACATTGACCTATTTTATGAATTTTATTACTTTCATAAATGTTTTCCATACAACTATAGACCTACAACTAAATAACATAAAATGCAATTTGTTATATTGAAATTTATTATTAGACAGACTTTATACACTGAAATGATCTGGCAACACAGCACTATACAGCAACTGAAGCAGCGCCACTGATTATAGCAGTAGCTTCATCATCTTCAGTAAGAGGCGCTGGCTCCAGTTCTTCAGCGCTCTCCACCGAGACCCAATGTTACTTCTTCTTTGTCAGTTTTTCAGACAGGTCATCGAAGGTGGGATCTTGCAAGTTGATCATCAAGCTGTTACCGGGCAAGAAGACTCTGTTTTGTGACTGTGCAATCATTCTGGAAATGCTCTGAGCTGCTCGAATCTTGCGCAGTTTAAGGTATCCAGGGTTCATGCCCATGGCTTTGCCCAACATCTCAGCTGCTGCAGCCTCACCCTCAGCCTGGACAATCTTCTGCTGTCGCTCTTGCTTAGCCCTTTCTACTACAAAAGCGGCCCGCTGAGCTTCTTGTTGAGCTACTTGTTTCGCTTCAACGGCCGCAGTATATTCTTTTCCAAAACTGAGCTCAGTGAGGGACACATCATCCAAGATAATATTAAAGTCAGCGGCACGCTCCACTAGTTCTCGTCTGATAAGCAAAGATACCTGCTGACGTTGTGTAATTAACTGTGATGCATTGAATTTCGCGACTACGGATTTTAGAACTTCGTTGCAAATTGACGGTAGAACTTTCTCATCGTAATCAGTGCCAAGCTGTCTGTACATGGTGGGCAGCATACTGGCATCAGGGCGTGACAACACGCGCAACGAAATGTTTACCATTTGCAAGTCTTTGGAACCGGTGGGTGATGAAATCTTGCGAGGTCTAGAACGAATATCGTAGATAATGGGGTATTGAAACCATGGAACGCGGATGTGCATTCCTTCGGTCATGACATGCTGCTGCACACCTCCTATTCTGTTGAACATGATGGCGCGATGACCACCTTCCACAGTAAACAAGGATTGGGAAACGCCATAAGCCGCAACACCGACTGCAGCCATCACTTTCAAGCCAATGCTCAAACCTGGTGGTCCGCCCTTGGCGAATTTGCCCGCCATATCATTAAACTTGCTCTGCGCCATTATTTAGAAACGAAAAACTATCCAATACAATAGTAAGATACAGAAAAATTCAAAAATATAATTATAACCTAAATTTCAACCTGAGCAAATTGTGCAATAACCATAAACAAAAAGGTAGAGTTACAGAGTGCGCGAACTGGTGCGAAGGCAGCGAACAGCGTTGCCAATGCCAATTGTTCAAAATCCCCAAAAATGAAGGTTAAAAATATTTAAGTTGACGAATGGCAAGTTGTAGTGTAGAAGTACGGAATAAAGAGCACGTCAAGCTTGACACTTAAGATTTAAATCCAACTCTATGCCGCTTACGATAAGAACGGTCCAAAGTACAAAATGTCAATTTTGACGTGCTCTTGACTGTACTTTCAACAACTCGGCTCTACATTGTAGCAGTAGCTGATTTAGATCTTCTTAACACTGTGAATTGGCATATAGAGAGACGCGTACTCAACACGCGCCGACTGGTAATTTTACTATTCAGAACCAAGTGCTGCGATCCTATCGAATAATTCTGTGCAAGCAGCGCGCTAATAATTCTATTTTATGTATATTAAGTATGCACACGTTGTTACATCAGTACGATGTTGAAAAAATATCGATATCGTTCATCATAGTGTTTTTATTAGTAATCATCAGACTATACATCAGCAATCGATAGTTTAAAATGTAACTATAAAATGTTACAATCGTAGCATTTTTCCCACCGCGCTAATCCCCAATTGAATTGAAGTTCACCACAATTTGATTTTGGTAATTCCTCACAAATTGGCAGCATGTTGGCAGTGAAGCAAAGATCCAGTGTGACTCGACTACAGATACGAAATCTCATTCTTTTCTCATCATGAAATCGAAAGTAAAATTGTCATTTTATTTGACGTATTTCTTACGTTTGTCAGTTGTCAAACTCGCCAAAATGAATGACGGAGCAAACAAGATGTCTATTTTCACCTAAAAAATATTTATATAGTAATAAAAAAATACAATTTCCAAATACTTAATTTTACTTTACGTGACTGTGCTCTTCGTGTGTGTGTTTCTGGACCCTAACTTGTGTGGTAAAAGGGAAATACGTTGTCCCAAAGCCATGGAATCGTGCATTGGTGTTGAACAAGATTTAGACAAAGCATTATCGAAATTTACCACGCTAAATGATCATACGAATACGGCTTTACAAGATTTAATTAATCAAGTTGAAGAGGTCAGGAAAGAAGTAGCAAGACGTAAGTAAATAAATGTCTTTTCATTTCTTGGTATCAACTGTGTACTTGCTTTCTTTTATTTTGGTATATAACGTGAGACTTGTTGTTTGACAAGCTGGATTGTTTAGTTTATCACAGAATATTTTATAAACACGACCCGGTCTTACTTCGCGTGTAGTTATTAAAATATGCCTTTCACTTTGCACTATAGTGATTTATATAATTAGTAGTATCATTGCGTTAATGAGCTTAATACGTATAAAAACAATGAATTCTAGGCTGGCAGTATTTTTTAATTCTCTGTTTAATATTGAATAGATGCAAGTTTATTCATACCAACATTTGATATTCAATTTGTACAGATTTCCAAGTGTTTCCATTGAATGGAAATTCATAGACCTACCTTGGTCCCTTTATTTGGATAGCATACAGCATACATTCTATACTATTCTAAATTAGACACTTGTAGAATACTGCAGTGGCATCCACATGTCATGACAGTGGTGCTGCAACTGCACTTCTATACATGTCTAATTTGGTTTTTAATGTTGTACCAATTTAATATTTATCTATTATACATATACTCAAGTGTAGCTTATATACCTTATGAGGTACCCACTTACATTTATTATGTATTACAGAGCCTCATAATGCTACTCTTACCCAAGCTCAATCAATTTTGGTGGCGGAACTGGCAGCTGACATCAAACATCAAGTCTTCCAGATTTCTACTGGTGAGCATTTTTGAAATACACCATTATAATAATAGTAATAGGGAATAGTGTCTTAAGTATACTAGAATATTTGAAGGCCTTTTATTACAAGCATAACTAAGTTAGAGATACTTATGCCATATTTACATTTTTGTCACAAAGTTTATTGACTACCAAATGTTGAAGATTTTGTGAATTTAATTTTTTGTGCTCTCTTGAGGTCTGTAATGGATTGCATGTATGTCTTCTATGTCTTTTGTGGCATGATACACTTCGTAACAATGTGGCTGTGGTGCACACATGGTTTAACACGGATACAGCTACAAACTTAATATTGGGTTATGTGCATCCATATCCCATGCTGCTTTACACCATAATCGCTTGTGCGAAATTAACTTTGATAACTTCATTGCTCAAGGCATTTACAGAGCCTCAGATAGTCAATTGATCTCTGCTCTCAGTTACCCAAACACTGACCATCACATCCGTAAACTTTTGGGGAGACGAACAAAGTAGTTTATGAGCTAGGTTCTGTCTATTCCAAGCACAAGAGCAATGATAGGCTAGTCCTCGAGAACCAATGCATTGATACCTCCCAAGGCTACAAGCCAACAGTTTTAAACTTTCGAAAGCTCTAATTTGGTCCTGTAGATGTTAATTTATAGGACCGAACACTGAAATTAGCCTTTGGCGTTAGCCAGGAATAGGCACCGAAACTTGACATGGTTTGGTTTGAACAAGCACATATCCAACCTCAACACAAGTGATAGCAGAGGTTGTAGATTTTGCCTCTTGATTTTTACGTGAATGAGGCCACTCAGAAACTTGCAACTCGAGGTTGTAGTGCCCATTACACATTTGGTGGGTGCAGTCGCTCTAAGAGACAGAAGAACCTCACTTTTGGGCGAACAATTACCCCATCCAGATATGGTGAAAACAATTTGAGTGAAGAAATTGCATTGATGAAGGGTTGCATAGGCTCTGAATACCCCATTAATAGTAATGAGGGTGCACAATGTCAAGCATTATAGTGTATACCATAGATACAATAAGAAGTAATAACAATACATAACTTCGCATTTACCAACATAAAGCATGCAAATTTGTTACAGATCATAGAGAACTACACGCGACAGTGTCGCGAGTTGGCAAATCCATAGACCGTCATTTCATCTCAGATTATGCATCAGTTGCTCCAAAAGCAGAATCTTTCTGCAATGAGGTTAACCGACCCATTATGGAACAGGCTATAGCTCAACATTTATATAGACAGGTATTTAACACATGATTTACTTTCATAGAATTATAAACATTTCTAATTTAATTACATTAGGAACTCATTGTTGTCATTTATATAAAACTTCGCGAGCCAAAGGTAGATACGGTTAAAGGTATACTCTTCCCTTACTTCTTTTGTAAATTACGTTCATATGATTATTCAGAAAACTTTAGCTGAATCAATAGTTAAATTAATAAGAAAATGTTCATATTGTTGATGTAATCATTTAAACAGTATGTGATGTCATTATTTTAGGTGCAGGTATGGTAATTGGCAAGAAAGTAGTTTTAACACTGTTAAGCGTGAAACACAGAGAGAACGGGTGCGGGGGAGGACGGCGGGTATTTATATGGACGACAACACACGACGAGCAGGCTGCGTCCGTCTCCCGATCCACTCCGCTGACAGTGTGTCACCCTTTAATGTTTGCAAGGGTTCGGTTTCGGTTCTAGTTAGTAACTTTGCTTCGTTTTTTTAATAAACAGGGTTTAGAAGATGTGGGCGACACGTTCGTGGCAGAAGCCAAGATCACCCCGGTGGAGAGGACGTGCACATTCGCTCTACTGCAGCGTTGTGCCGCGGCGCTGTGCGAGGGGGATCCCTCCCTGGCGCTCGACTGGGTGGAGAAGCGAGCCGACGAGCTGCGGCACTCGTCGCTGCCGTTCACGTTGCACCGCATGCAGGCTCTGAAGGTGAGGGGGTGGTCCCGGGTGATGGATGGAGTCCGTCGGGATTAGGGGTTTCATCCCGGGAATTTTGGTCTCGTAAATTTCGAAAATTTTTTGACATTTTCGAAGCTAACGTTTTCAGTCTCCGGAAAATTGAGATTTGAGACTTGTGTAACTTACTTAAAAGTGTTAAATTTTTGTTTGTAACAAGTCTTGAGCTCGGTGGTAAGCGACACGCCTGTCCATAGCAGTTGCAGCGCCACTCTGAGCTTTAAGTCGCAAAGATCTGAGGGTGGGAATGGGTAATATACCTTTTTTTGAATATCGTATCGAAACTATATATCAATATTCGAAATCGGATTTCGAAACTGTGTATTATTGGATATAGTTTTACAAGAGTAATGCCAACGTTAGTATACAGTTTCGAAGGCGCTCGAAAAATGGTTTCGCGTTGATATCCACTCAGTGAATATCTGACCCGAAGCAATCGGTATATAGTTTGGAAAATATATGATTTCGTGTCGGTATCCACTCGGTAACCGCTCGGCTACGTACAATTTGTAACGCCCATTCCTATCTGAATCTATATGGGCACTGCCACCGCGCCCGTCACCCCACGACAAGTTGACAAGCCCCATGCGCTTGTAGCTTCACCGGCGCCCATAAGGGTCGCTAAGTTGGCTTTGGTTGCATGGACGCCCGAACGCTCGCCTGTGCAGCTGGCGCGCGAGGCGGGCGTGGGCGCGGCCATCCTGTACGCGCGCGCGCAGTTCCCGGCGCACGCGGCGCGCCACGAGCGCGCGCTGCAGGCCGCCGTGTGCGCGCTGGCCTGGTGCACGCAGCACGCGCCGCCCGCGCCGCGCCAGTACCGCCACCTGCTGGACCTCAAGGCGCTCGGTCAGTGCTCCCTCGGAACCGTTCGGCCACGGAGCCAGTTGAGCCTCTTAACTTTAACTGCCTCTCACTGTCACCCAGAGGTCCCAGGTTCGATTCCCGGGCCGGGAGAGATAGTTGTATGGCCTACATTTATTTCTCTCGTGAGTTTGGGTGTAATTTGTGGTTGTCTACGTGTGTGTCCATGGCACCCGCGACACAGGGTTTCCCTAGTGCGGGGTTATGTTGAGTGTGTGCGTGTGTGCGTTAAGCGTCTCATTTGAAGGCGCCTAGATGCCGACGAGCGATTCGCATCCAATTCTCGGGAAGACGCGTTTCTAGGCTCGCATCTACTTTACACATTTACACAATTCATATAAAGTTCATTATCGACGGCTAAATTTGAAAACCTCACAGCCTCAGCCTTTGGACGAAACCCCATTTTTTTTCTCTTCCAGCGCAATATCGGGCATTTAAAGCATAAAGTTTATTTTTTAATTATAAATAAAAGTATGATCATAGATTTGTAATATAAAATTATTTCTAGTAATTCTGTGCGAATTGGGAGCACGGCGGGTGCAATTGTATTGTGTATTTATTACGCACTGCTCACGGGCGCAGAACACGGCACAGATCGGGTCCCGCGTCCGCCGTGCTACCGACCCGCACCCGCTGTCAGTGTGTTTCACAGATTTGAATCACCAGCCCTTTAATTGATAAGCGACCGATCTCCAACTTGGCTGCTACTTATACACAACCCCTTTTTTATCTCATTATTTACTAAAGAATCACATCCATTTTGGACTCGTACATTAAAATACGTTATCAAATAGTATTCTTTGAAATGAGTCGGGTGAAAAAAGTTACGACAGCAATTTTAACAATATCACAGAGTAAAGTAGCCAGTGCACTGCAACACTAACACCGTATGCAGGTGCGGAGGCAGCGGAGCTGTTCATCGTGGAGGCGTGCTCGCTGCTGCACCTGGCGCCGCTGTCGCCGCTGGCGGGCGCCGTGCTGGCGGGCGCCCGGGTGCTGCCCGCGCTGCACGACATCAAGGCCAAGATGACGCACCCGCACGTGATCGCCGCCTGGTCGGACGACGAGCTGCCGCTGGAGGTGGACCTGGGCGAGGACGGCGGCGGCTACCACTCGGTGTTCGCGTGCCCCATCCTGCGGCAGCAGGCGTCGGAGCACAACCCGCCCATGCGGCTGCTCTGCGGACACGTCATCTCGCGCGACGCGCTCAACAAACTGGCCGTGGGCGTCAAGTACGTGTCTCGCGGAGGCTTCAACAAAAATGGAAGCTAATCATTTGCTACACCGCGAACCCAGTGAAAGTTAAATCGGGCAAAATAGCAATATTTTTTCACGCAGTTAATTTTCCCACCCTCCGTCCGCATAAACTTAACAAAATAAACACACGGCGCGACTACACACACAGACAACACCACCAAAAATATAGCGAAACGTTTTTCGCATCTCTACGATGCATCCTCAGGGGTTGTTGATTGTCCGACACTCGGCCAAAGACTATATGGAAGTAAATTAATAATCAACAACTCCTAATTCAGCTATTTTGCACGATTTAACCTTCACTGGGTCCGCGGAGTAGCATAAATAATTTACCTCTATTTTTTTTCACCTGCACTTCCGCAAAATAACCTTAATTAGTGAATCGATTAATTAATGAAAGCCTGCATATAAATGCAATATTCATTATACACATATGTACAGTGGAAGCCGTGAACCTCCACTCACATCATACTGTTAACCTTTTTAGGGACATCTCCAATCTGAGCGAGGTATACAAATCAAAGTCTACCTCTCCGCACGTTTCCATTCACCCTATAAATTATAACATTACCTAACCGCCTAATCCGCCTTTTCTACATAACCAAATCGTCTTTTTCTTACGAGACCACGAGACGAGGCAACTAATTCAATATCAAATAAATTAAAATAATAAATATAAATAATTGCAACGGCTTAGTCCTTTCGTATTATAATGGAATCGGTGGCACGGTATGCAAGAAGACGTCGGTTCGAATCTGACCGGATCGAAGGAATTTTTTCTGAGTGTTTTTTCTGAGTGTTCGATCTTTGTATTAATAATTATAACAAACTAGTGGAGTAATTTCACAAAAAATAATTGAATATCAATTCAATAAAAATTTAATTAATACAGTGAATAGCGACATCTCTCGCCAGGACTGGTAGCTGTAAATGTACCAACTGGGTGATAAATCTGTAATAGATTTCTCGTAGATGGCGCTACGACTAAAAAGTCGTTGAAAGACCAAGTACAAAGACACGACGCAAGCACATAGAGAAATTCGTGAGGTCCGTTGGTTCGTTCCGTGGTTTAGTTGGTATAGCGTCTGGCACGGTATGCAAGTAGACGTCGGTTCGAATCCGACCGGATCGAAGGAATTTTTTCTGAGTGTTCGATCTTTGTATTAATAATTCTTTTATAAATTTTAGGAAAACCCATCCTAAGTGGATGAGAATTGAAATGCCTTTATAAATATTACAACATTAAAAAAAGTGCTTCATTTAAATTCTCTAAATGAATAACCATTCATCATCCAACTTCGCATTTCTGTCAATATTCCATGACGGCTTTTCCTTATATTGTCCTCTACATCCACAGCAATTTAAATTTATGTAGGTTTCTGTGTTTACATCACCTACGTACGTAACTTAACTTTGTTAACAAAAAAAATATTAACGTAACAATAAAGTTCGTTCTTATTTCATTCCTGTATTTAAATTCATTGTAAATACTATAAAAATGTGTTCAACTCTTAAGCCATTATTCTTTTATATTCTTTTCTATTATTATATTCGACTTTAATTCCACTATAATATTTCGACTGAAGGACTTGAATCCAAGGTCATGAAATAAAGTAAAAAAATGTATATAGAAAATTATAAGTACGTCACATTAGACGCATATACCACCACTACTAATTTATTTACAAAATTTAGAAGCGCAGTTGTTGACGTGACACGCGCGTTACTTTTGCAGTAACAATAAAGCGTGAAACACTGACAGCGGGTGCGGGTCGGGAGCAAGGCGGGTGTAATTCTGTGTATTTATATGGACGACAAGGTACAACGCGCAAGCGAGACGGGCGCAAGTCGGCCCCCGCGCCCGCTTGTGGTGTGTTGTCGTCCATATAAATACAGCGGAGTTACACCCGCCGTGTTCCCGACCCGCACACGCTATCGGTGTGTTTGTTTCACGCTTTAGTCAATTAAAAATTACTGAAGTTTAAACGCGCTGCTGCCGCGCCATTTCAGTGCTTCTGCAAGCGGCTAATTAGAAGGCACCCTAACAACTCGACAAAAGCTGAAGCTTTATTGCCATAAACATATCGACGCCGGAAAGCGATCTTGTCGTATCTCGAAAAGTATGATTATATACATCCTACTTTAAAATTGACTTTCTACTAATTCAAATTAAAGATAAATAATTTTTTGAAATAGTTTTTAGCCCCGGTGTAAAGTCCTATTTTTCGAGATACGACAAGATCGCTTTCCGGCGTCGATATATCCAAGTTACGTCCGTTTGTGATATCTACATAGAAGAAGTTTCTTTTGTTTCAGGTTGAAGTGCCCCTACTGCCCAATGGAACAATCACCATCAGAAGCTCGTCAAATATATTTCTCGTAAGAAGACAGCTAATTTTTGTAATCAGTAACAATAACGTGAAATAGTATATCTTTAATACAATAATCGTGCAGTTAAATGGCGTCTTAGATCGCAGAGTTTTCCTATAGAGTGTAGTTTTCTCGTGTTTTTAGTTTATTTTCTCTTATCGAAAGTATCTCTATTGAAATTTAAAAAAAATGTCTATTTAATTGGTAAACAAATCGCACCCCTCATGGAAGAATAGTGTAAGTAGAGTTACGTCAAAAATGTTTGTTGCTCCATTAGATACAGAAAAATATAACCTTCCCAATTCTTGTAAATCTATCGATTAATATTGTAGATAGAATTACAAGAAGTGGAGAGAATGTGGGTTATATTTTTCTATATCTAATGGAGCAACAAACATTTTTGACGTAACTCTACTTATACCATTCTTCCATGAGGGGTGCGAAATTACACTTGAAATCGTCAAATTATTCTCTAAGAGCTATTTTTCACTAAGGGACCAGTCACGAGCGACTGCAGTGGCTAGTCCTAATAGCGACTGCGTGCGCGACCAGCCGCTTAGTGGACAATTAGTCTAATGCCCACTTGCACTAATCTTAAGTACGTCTTAACCAATGCTTAAATTGATAAGACACTCGTAACACAATTGATTAAGAGTGTCGTTTGCATTGCAAGCATTGGTTTATAAGTTTAATACAAGTGGACTTACCAGTTGCTCTTTGTAAATAGATATTTGTCGACATTTATCGTTTACAATATTTATTTTAAAATGTTTTAGCTAGAAACAACTTGAAAGAGCTAAAGAGGTCACTTACATGGATTTTTGTTATCCAAGTACGCAAAAGCTGTGTTACATTTTGTATGAAGGTTTTGTTTCATTATGTGTATTTTGTTGGGAGACTAACTAAGGGTGTCACCACACTTATCGATACGGAATCGCATTGTGTCTGTCAGAAAAAGCTTTATGGCCATGGAATAAAAGCGAAAAGAACAAGAAACGTGCAACGTCTTTTTCGCTCATATCGACCAGCAATTAATACTACTAACTTAAAAATTGCAACTTTTCATCAAAGCCTATAAAAGGGAAACTTTCGATGTATTCCTTTTTTATTTACTGCAAGTATATATGTACATAAATTACACATAGATTATAAAATGTATGCTTATTAGTATTGTATTATTTTTAACCGACTTCAAAACAGGAGGAGGTTCTCAATTCCACTCTATTTTTTGTGTGATATGTTACGCGATTATACCGGCATTTGTGAGTCGATTTTTGATAATTATTTTTTTGTTTCGAAGAGGGTACCTCAGTATTGGTCCTATTTAAAATTGAAGAAAATATTCCACCTCTAAGGGTAGCAAACTGAATCCGGTTTCGCACACTTTCCGGTAACCGATTTCAATAAAACTAGCAAATAGATGTAATTCCACAAATTTTGAATTTATTTTAAATTAGCTGAAAAATTTCGTTCACAAAGTTCGGGTTAGCGTAGTGTTAATTGCAGGTGTCGATATTACAAAGATATAAAGCTTTCTCTGCCCGGATCAAGGCGATTAATTAGTGTGGTAACTACCTAATCCACATAATTACATTACGAATTTAATTTAGTTAAAGTTAGGTTATATTTTGTAAAACGTTTAGGTCAAATTAATGTAAATTATTTTATTTTAATTGAAAGAAATAGGTAAGTGTATGGAGAAAAGAGAGGCGGCGGAGTAATTAAAATATAGTCGTGCAGGATAGTTGAGGTCAAAATTATTTAATATTTTTGACACTTGTAAGCGTCTATTACACTACCCAATTTCAAGTGACCTTTAATCTAACTTAGGGGGTTGGAATAAGATTTTGAAGTCCAGATTTAGGGTGATCAATAACACTTCGGGCTGTCAGAAGATTAGTGGACGTGTGGCGAACCTTTAAATGAGTCGTATCGTTTCGTCCCTCTGGTTTGAGCAGCCATTTTGTTTTGCTATCGCCATCTCGTACTGTAAAGAAAAAGAGGTTTTGTTGTGCCTGATAGATACAATGACGCCCTATTTATGGAAGAAGTGTCACAAATATTATACGAAAATTTCGATGAGAAACAACAAATATAAGCTTCGATGGCGTCATGATAGCAACAAGTACAGCGCTATCGACGATTGTGTTGCGAATGAGATAGGACCCGATTGACAGACTAGTGTAATAAGCAGGTCACTAAGTAGAGACCACGCCCACTCTTGAAGCAGGGCTCTAGAAATTGGGTAGTGTAAACGCGTTGTAGTTAAAAAACACTAATTTCCGTTGCTCAAATTATTACTCATCGTTAGATATGTAAGCCACCGTATAAAACGCGGTAAACGACACGAGTTGTTACTTACTTTTTTGACAGCTCGTTATTCAAAATCCTAAGAGAAAGTAAATTAAAAAAATGAAAGAACTAAATAGACTTAATATATTTTATGTATATGTTGCATATGTATTGGAAAAATAAATTCTCTTGCGAAGCACTCTTTATTATTAGGGTTTATAATAATTCGCTTAGGCTGATACAGCGGTTTCACTGAATTCAGGTAACTCGATATTAAAATAGTGATTTTTTATAGATGTCGTTAAAAAAGTGTTGCTTTTTAACTGTCGGTATTCAAGTGTTTGGAATTGTAACCTTTACGCTTACTCTTCGGTATCGGGTTTCGGAAACAATTTTTTTGTGTAAATAAACGTAGAATAATAAAAAAATATTTCCTAAGTAACAAAATATATTATCCAATTATTTTCTACGTAAATTGAAATCGGAATGAAGTGCATTTTATTAACATTTGAAAATTGGAATAAACGCATTTAAATAGATGTATTCCCTACGCTTCGTCCAGGTTGCACAGGCCGGGGTCACAGGCTGACTTGACTTGACTGAGACAGCCCGTGACCACGTTCGGTGCATGCTGGCCGAAACGTCGGGAAAATAGGTAGGTATGAAAATACCTATAATAGTGTTCAAACGTGTTTATTCCCGTTTTCAAATGTTAGTAAATTCACAGATTACTTAATAGTTACTACGTAACAGATACATCACTCTAATACAAAATTGGAAATACGCGCTCAGAGAGGTGAAAATAACGTTGCCCGCCGTGTGCAGTCGTGCGGAACCGAATGCTAGGGTAGTACAAGGATTGTAATGTAAATGAAAGACTTGTCTTAACGCTTACACTATCGGCGATACTCTCAGCGGTAGGCACTTATCGCGTAACCTCGAGGGAGTGACGGTCCCTGGTAAAACGCGTCTGTATTTCCGAATTCATACAACCCGCAATCTTTAAGATGCGACTGAATTGGCATCTTCTGGGTGTGCTCGTTCCATCGTAGTTCCTATCTTTGCTCCAGAGCTAGGTAGTGGTCCAGAGCAAGTTCATTTAATTGAAACAAAAAGCAACACGAGAAATGATAAAATACATATTACGTGGAAACCGCGCCACCTTCTTAAGATTTTTTTTAAATTGCTTTCATATTTTACACGGGAAACATTTGCTGTGTATACTAACTATTAAGGAAAAAATTATTGTTTATGTTTCTAGGTGCCTAAATAATAGACTGATATTCCAAAGACATCGATAATTAAAAAGCAACAAAATCATAGTTCCAATAGTATCTCAACCTTATATAGAAGACTTTTGCAATAAGAGTCAAGTGGTAATGTGAGCATTATTGCGTTCCGGTTTTGAAGGGTAAGGGTTTTGGTGAAATGACAGACACATGGGACTTTTCAACTTATTTATGTCGCAGGGTGACTGGCGCGGTGGCAGTGTCCCTCAGATCTTTGCAATTTAAAGCTCTGAGTGACACTGCAACTGTCATGGATAGGCGTGTCGCTTACCACCAGGCGCACGACTTATTCGGCCCGTTGCTGAGATCACAAAAGACTATCCATTCGCGTTAATGAAAGTAGCAGGCAATCAAGTAACAGTTAATTCACATGGTCATGTGGTTGGTCAATTTGAATTTCTTTCTATACGTCACGTGATATAAAATCTCTGTCATTGGTCACAATTTTCAACTGCACAATGAACGTGAATGAAACAATTACTAGACATGGGGAATAGCGTTACATTTCTATCGCCGTGGCTGACGTTCCGGTTCCAAAAAAATCTTGTCACGACTGTTACTTCCGTGACCTTGTCACGCCTATGACTTACATCACGATATACGGTTTTAGCCAGCGGATTCTTTCTAACACTTATAGCCGTTTTTTATAGAATGATTTAAGTTTTTACTCCCTTTGTAATAAGTTTCAATTCCATTCAAAAAGTTGATTTTGTATTTAATGTAATTTTGTTTGTTACTTATTTAATGCGAATCTTTGGATTGTTAAAAATAGCAATAAAGTGTCATTTAGTTGCAAGTTACATTTAATTATATTTCTAGTAGAATACACAAAGTCAATTATACATAAATATAAAATATCAACTCTTCCCATAATAAAACAAATATACAAAACTATTTTACTTTGTTAATAAATAGGTTTATAGTAACTGGTGCAGATTTTTTTCATCTGCCCTTTCTAGTAGTAATAAGCACCTACGACCCTTGTGAGTGAGCAAAGAAAGTCATCCTATCTCACTCACTCCCATCGCCGAAATGGCCCGATTTGAAGAGAACTACGACGAGTTGCGCGCTCAGTCACCACGGAACGGAGATCGCGCATTGTATCAAATACGTATGTCGTGATGTGAATGACGGGGATAGCTATTGGAACGGAGGAACACCTATGTGACTTTGGAACGTCGTTCCTTCGGAACGAGTCACGGTGATACTGTTTGATCGTGATTTTTCATCGTGACGTTATTTGTCACCCACCTCTACCAATTACCCTTCCAACCTTTATACCGCAAAAGTCTTGTATGAAGGGGCGTGTATTTTTAATTATAAGACAAATATTATGTAAATTACATATGGACTGGTTGTAGAGACATGCTTTTGTTCGTTTTTTTAATAAAATAAATACAGTATTTGTTTTCTTTATTTCTTCAATAATGCACTAATTTTTGAAATTGCGAGGAGTTGTTAGTAGCAGTAGAGTTCCTCGTGAAAGAATTCGTCCAGGTAAGTACTGGTACTATTAATGCCGCCACAACTGCGTGGCGTTACTGAATGTGAAGCATTACTGATAAACTACAGGCACATAGGTCTCTATAGGAGTATTGGGCACAATGGCA